GAGAAATGACAGTGATGTACTGAATATGGAACCTGAAGAGTGCTCCTTTTTAGCCACTTAATGATGGAAAGGAAACCAATGAAGAAGCCAGGAGCAGAAACTGCACAGTTCGAGAGGAATTCCCCAGTGCTTCAGACAACATGCAAGGTTGTAACACAAAGGAATTGTTTTTAATTACTAACATTGAAATGCCCTTTGCTGAGAAGGGCCTTTAGGCAGAACTTAACATCAGGAATGAACGTTGGGTGTGTTTCACCCCACTTCTGCAGTCTGAACCACCCTAATGCTCCCCTCTGGCACCACACTCTCAAAGATTCCAGGACAAAAGTCTGTTTTCTGCCTCAACAGTTGTTAAAGTTTCTCACTGCAGCAAGCCCAGCTCTACAGTGTTAAAGGCTGCACTGCTGTGCTGTGATTTCCAGGTAGCTATAATCACTTTAATGGAGGGAAATTATATTGGATCATTGCAACATGGCCTGATTAAACCAAATTGCCAATCAGCTCAAGAGATCAAAGTTGAGAAATCAAAGCAGCATGTCACTAAGGCACGTGGACTTTACCTGAGAATATCGCTATGATCTCTCAGTAACTTGTCATTTCGTAGTGATTGTTTTTTTCCTTAATTTAATTGTGCTGCATTTTAACTGCTTTGCATTTCAAGTTTGTTGGCTGGTGGGTTGCATTGCTTCTGGAAAGGCAGAAGTGTGCATAGCAACGGTTGTGATGTTGTGGCAGACTTTGCTCTGTTTTTTCTACAAATAAAGATGATGGATTGAAGCACAGTCAATGCACAGCAGTGCTGGAAACGCCCCAGGCTGGTTCTGCCCTCCCCATCCCCACAGGCTTTGCAGGACATCACACTCCATGTGAGAGCAGCAGGTGGTTCGGTGCTCATGGCAAAGCCAATAGATGTGACTTGCTGGAAAGCTTTGCTCTGCCCTGCACAATGTGCCAGGGTGCAAAGGTTGGGCTCTCAAACTTCTGGGGCATAGTTATGCTTTGAAGCTTCAGATCATGCTTTTTGGAGCATTTTAGATTCTCCCCGGATGAAGGTGTATCTCTATCCAGCAGTTTTGCTTTCTTTATCATTGTTTGATGACTTAAATTGCAGTCATTTTGTTGCTTTGTACCAAAGCTGTGCAATAACCAGCTCCCAACACCGATTCAACTTCAGTGATATCAGTCTCCCGAAGGGCATTTATTTGTTTTTTTACCACACTGATAGCAAAACAATTGGATTGCAATAAAATGTGGCACATAAAACTGAGGGTGAGAAACACCTCCATGCTGCAGGTGAGAACCAGAACTCCTCGTCCTTGTCCTTGCCCTGCAGAAGCCACAACTGGGGCTCAGATGGACCTGGATGACACCTGGATGGCAGCTGGGATCTCTCCATGCCCCACACAGATGATGGAGCAGCAGTGACCCTGCAGGACCCCATGGGCTGTCACTGGGGTAAGAGTTGATGCCCATGGGCGAGCAGAGATCTCAGCTCAGGAGGTGCAGTGAAGGGTCTGAGCTCCATTGGTGCCTCAATCCAGGAAGCACTCCATGTGCTCAAAGGTTGCCCTCGTAATTGCTTTATTGCTGTTGATAAGACAAAGCCTCTCTACTTCCACGCCGATGTTAATAATTGATTTTAACCGTGGCACTGGGTTAAGTCCCCCACATCTTCCTTTCTCTTGCCTTTCCCTGGCTGTTTCCTAACCGTTCCCTCGCTATCTACGTGATCTCGGTGCGGGAACAGCTGACGTCCCGTGCATTGCTATGGGAGCCGTGCTCCTGCCCTTCGGTGCGGCTCTGGGATGGATGCGGGCGGAGGGGATCGGGTTGGACCATCGTCACCTCGTGTCGCGCACTGCCACCGCGTGTCGCTGCCGCGGATCTGTCACGGCAGCAGGATGGTGCTGCTGAGCCCTGGTGGGGAGACGTGCAGTTTGCAGGTCGCAGCTGGGAAAAGAACACTTCTGGAGAGTAGTTTTCTATCTTTTTTTCTGGTTATTTGGATGCAGATTCCTGATTTTTCCAGGTACAGGGTGGGGCACGGCTCTGCTGCTGCGTTTGCTTCACTGTAGAAAGGGGTGCTCTCACAGTTCAGCATCCAGCTGGTGGGAAAGGGAAGGGCACCGTGAGGGAAGGAAGCAGGTGAGAGGAGCCCAGCCGCACAGGAGGGGTTAAGGCTGCTCTTTTTGCTCACTGCCTTGTTCAACATGGGAGTGGTTCAGCACAAGCACCAGAATGAGCACTCATGGGTTGTCTGTGCTGGATTCTCCCTTCCCCATCACCAGGATGCTCATGCTGGTGCATTGTATGCTGTCACCTTGCTGGTGGGGACATTGAATGGGTGACAAAACCTGGTGACCTGCCACCAGGAGAGCCTGGCAACCCATGGGCTCCTTACAAAAGGTGAGGAGAAGGATTTCTGGTATGCAAAGCCACAGCAGAATGACAGCTCCATAGCAGGGACTGGGACCATGTCCCCACACTGCACTCCAACTGCTGCAGCTGTGCCTGCATTAGGAGTGAGCTCTGGCTGCAGCAGGGCGAGACCTTGGTGTTACTGTTGGATGAGCTCTCCTGAGAGCAGCCGGTCGAGCCAGGTAACACATCCTGAGTCACTCTGATGAGCAGTGGGGTGGCAAGATGCTTTGGGTGGAGGCTGATTGCTTTTGACCGAGGTGATTTGAAGGGTTAGTAACAAACAGGGATAGCAACCAGCTGCTCCCTTCGCTCACCTGGGTATGAGGTCCCCAGGTGTCCCAGGCTGACCCCAGCTTGTCAAGCAGGGACACCTGAACTCCCCACCTCCTGAGGAGATGAAAAAGGTGAGAAATAGAGCAGCGCTGGAAGAAAGAAGGGATATTTTCTCAGCATTATTCACAAAGCAAGGGGCATGGCTATGGCAGAGTGGTGGTGCCAGCAGGCAGAGGCAGAGACTGCATGGAGGCAGTGATGGCTTCTCCTGTTACAAAACAAGAGCTGGCTCTCAGATAATTTACAGAATTTGGTCCTTTGAGCCATGCTTGCTTTAATGCAGCACGGATGGATATCATACTGGACCCGCAGTTTGTTTTCCCAGTGTACAGTCGTGAAGGTGCTGTTTGTGAATAAATGAGAACAACAACCTGTGCTTGTTTTGCAGTGCCTATCAGAGTTAATGATTAAATAGTAGCTAGGGCAGTGTTGTTGAAGCAAGTCAGGTGTTATCACTGTGCAGGAACCTCTCTGTAAGGAGCAATAACAACCCATTCTGTCTCTTACTGGATTTCAAAGCTAAAGGGCATTGGAAAACAAAGAACAGCTGAGGTCCACCTGAAGCAGGAGCACGTTCACCCTGCCTGTGCTACCAAGGGGGATGCAGTGGCTCACTGGGACTGAACTGGTGGTTGCTGAGCACAGATTTTAAGAGCAGGAATGAAGGACGTTGTTTGAGTTTGGTTTTGAGATATCAGGTAAGTTTGCGTCACTGGGAAGTAAAGCAAAACAAACCACAACCAGAGAAAAACGTGTTCATTTGAATGCTGCAAAGCACTTGGGTGCGTTGGGCTCAGCTTGTCTTTCTGTCTGCTCTGTATCAGCAGGCTGTGAGCCCCACACACTGAGCACTGTGCACATGGGGACCACAGTCAGGAGCGTTTGGGACCAGAACTTATCAAACCACTTCTCCTGAATTTGATCTTTGTAATGAAAGATGTGTGTAGGAGTGTCTTTAATTGGGCCAGCAGCGACAGACTCGCGCAGACATGGAAATGACACGTCTGAGTGTTGTGGGATGGATAGTTAAAAAGTGGATACACAGCCTATGCAAAATGCAACGCTGAGTGTTTGGGTCTTTACAAACCTTGCTGTGATGTGTAAATACACTGTGTAGTCTGCATGAAGGCACTGAGGGCATGTTTACCAACTCCTCGTGTTATATTGTAAATATTATGCTCACTTTTCACTGCTATTTTATTATTATTATTATTATTTGTAATTTTGCTTCAGACACAAATCAAGCAAATTATGCCCACAGTTAAAAAGTACCAGATCTGCTTTGGGAGGTACCCAGCCAAGAACCCAGGAGCCCAGCTGGAATCTGTCCGAACCTGAGCTTTGTTTTTGTTCTTAGAATCACAGAATCAGAGGTTGGAAAAGACCACTGAGATCATCCAGCCCAATGATCACCCCTGCACCATCTCCTGCACTCTTGCTTTTCTCCTGCCCATCTCCTGCACACCCTGAGAAAGCCAAGCACCCACCACAGCTCTACCAAGTATCTTCTTGTTCTGTTCCTGGGTCTCTGCACACAATGTGTGACTATTTTTAGGACAGAAACAAGTACATCTCTGCAAGAAAAGCAGCAATCCCTGCAGCTCCCTGCACCAGCTGTGCTTGGGCCACAGGGCCACAGGCTTTGGGCTCAGCGATAGGAGGCAGCAGCTGCAGCAGCACCTGATCCCACTGCCCTCATAAAAAAGGCTCTCCACCCTGCTGAAGTTCCTTCTAGTCTGCAGAAAGGGGCAGTGTGGGCTCCATGGGGATGTGGGATAATCGGGGCTGCTCCTGGTGTGCAGGTGGGCAGCATCCAGCCCCCACCCAGCACTGCGCTCCCCAAGCCCTCGACTTATGAGTGCAAATGATTGTCAGGGAGAGGGAGTGCAGCCTAAATGTCAGAGGAGGGATTGAGCTCTGAGTGAAGGGCTCAGAGCTCTGAAGGCGGGATATCTGGCAAGTCCATTTTTCACAGCCTGTTGCCTTTCCAGAACAAATTCCCTGTTCGGAGGTAGCAGCTGTTTCCTCCTGTGAGCAGAACCAACCCCATCAGGCACAAATATCACAGTGACCAAACCCTTGTCTCTCTCTGCAGAGAGCCTTCATCCATAGGCATCACTTGTAAAGCAAGCCAAACCCACAGCTTCCCCTTCATGACAGCCCCTAAAAGCATTAATGATTCTGTAGATCATGCCCCAGCCACACGCCGGCTGCTGACTTCTTTAAACAGCTCATATCTCGCCGTGTACAAAACATCCCATACAAGAGGCACTACTTTATTAGGCACGATGCCCTGAGCGACTCCGTGAGCAGCAGGCCCCACGTTTGCCCCCCAAGCTGTCCCAGCAGCAGGTGCCCATCCAGCAGAACCACGCAGGGTCGCAGGCTGTGCTCCTCGCTCTCTCCCAACACTACTCCTTCAGCAGGCCGAGCTTCCTCAGTGCCTCACGCCGGTGCTCCTCTGTTGAACCCTTGGGGGAAATCTTCACGCTGACGCAGGAGCGGGTCGGCCGGGGGAAGCTGGGCAGCGGGTTCAACCTTCTCTTGCTGCTCTTCTCCACCTCGGTGGGCTCCTTTAGTGCAGCAAAGTCCTTCCCCGCGCCGAGGGACGCGGGCCGCGGTCTGCTGCTGCGCAGGAAGCTGGGTGCCAGCCGCTCAATGAAGGACATCTTGCCCAGTGAGCCGCTGCCCTTGACGCCAGGCTCCTTGGCCATGCAGCTGCCCAGCCCTACGCCGGAACGCTCCAGGGTGTTGGATTTGAAGTTCATGGCCCGAGCCGCTGGGGCTGTGCTCAGTGCTGCCTGGCCCTGCTTGCAGGGAGGTGGCACGGGGCCAGGCCGGGTGCAGGGCTCCTGCAGGTCCTGCGGCAGCCCCAGCTTCTCTAGGGCCTCCCGCCGGGCCTTCTCCCTCTCCTTGGGGTCAAGCTGCCCTGAATTCTGCTTTTCTGCAGCAGCGTCTGCAGCAGAGCCGGCGGGTGACGGCGGTGGTACCTTCACCTTCTGGCTGGGCTCTGCACCAAGCGGCACTGGGCTGGCTTTGCTGGTTCTCAGGATAATGTTCGGTGGCAGTTTTCGTGGTTTGGGGGCTGTGGGAGGCCCACGCTTGATTTCAGGGTCCTGCGGGACCTCCTGTGCTGCTGGGTGCTCCGCTTGGCCCTGAAGAAGCGCTGCGCTCTCCCTGCCCATCTCTTGGTGTGGCAGTGATGTCGGACCGGGGACAGCCACCATCCCCAGGGCTGGACGGGGCCGTGTCCAGCTCTCCTCTGCGTTGTCTTTTCTGGCATCTGAGCCATTGCTTCGTGACTGCTCTGCATGGCTCTCCTGGTTGTCCTGGAAGGGAGCTGGAGGTGGGATGATAAGGGATCTCACCTCTCTTCTCATGTTAGCTTGGCCAAGCCTGCCCTCCGTGCCCATCTCCTGTGGAGATGGGTCCTGCATGGTGTGTGCATCTGTTTTGCCATCAGCTCTGTTTGCTCTTTGTGCATTTGCTGCAGTGATGTTCCTAGGAAGGCTGTGGTAGCCTGGGCTCGGTGCCATTGCTGGAGCTGAGCTTGGGAAGCCAGAGGAGCCCTCGGTGCCCTTCTGGTTGGCTGCATGCTGCTGAGCTGAGCTTCCAGGAGGAGCCCTCTTCTCCAAATCTAAGCAGAGAGAGGCGAGAAGTCATGAACCGTGCTGCACATGCACACAGGATATCTTACCATTTCCCCAATGCTTCTTCATGTCTGGTAATGACAAGCAGAGAAGCTCTGCCCAGCAATTCTGTTTGCCACATTAGATAGCTGCTAGCAGCTCCTACATCCAGCACCTGGGAGAATGCAGCTGGTGCCCTACATATCCCACCACACACAGCCTCCTCTCACCCATGGAGTGATGAAAGCCATCTGGCTTTTGCTTACCAAATTAATAAAACTGGGGCAGCACTCCCTCCCAACCTGCCAAGGAAGCTCACCACAGTGTGGAAATCCTTTGCAAATAGGGCTGGAGCCCAATTCCCAGCTTACCCTGGGGAGCAGAGTCTCTCTTCAGCCGTGCCCTGGGCAGCCGGGAGGCTTCTGCATAGTCAGTCTCATCAGTGGAAACCCCACTATCTGCTTCTGCATCCAGTGAGCCAATGGTTTCTTCTAGGAACATCAAGCACTCCTTCTCTTCCACAGATAAATAGTCATAGCTGTTATCGCTCTGAGAAAAGAAGGGCAAAAAAGGAAAAGTACTGATAGGAACTGCAGGTGTGCTTTTATTTATCTGGGGATGGCAGTGTCTCTCCTTGTTCTCCCATTGACATCTCAGCTTTGAAAGGAACACAGCAAGATCCTGTTTAATTTTTGTTGCATTTCAAGCATCGTGAGATACGATCACTGTGGAAATGCCAAGTCAAAGTGCAATATGTAATATACATCATTAAAAAGCTGAAGTGCAGGAAAAGATGGAGCATGTGTCAGATCAACAACCACGGGGGAGAAATTGTTCCAGGTGGAGTTGTTTTGCAGAGAGGCGCCTTCCCAAGCCTTGCACCATGCAATACTGCAACCAGTTTGTCCATCCCTAATAAACTTTAGAGGGTTTGGTTCTGGTTTGCAATACATCAAATGGAAAACCTGCCCAGGACTGAGCTCTGTCCTAGCACATATCAATTATGCTCCAAGTCAGACAGGATGTAATTAAGCCATCAATCTTGGAATCAGTGTTTGGAGACAAACAAGTTTTAAGGAACAGATAATGAAAAATTGCACATCTACACCCATTGTCCCAGCTCACCTCCACCTTAACTCCTAAACCCATCTCTTGTCAGCCAGGGAGGAGTACAGCTTGATGCCTTCTCCAGGTGCAGTCACCCTCGTTGGAGCCACTGTGACCCAGTTATCCTACCGGTGCTGGGACAACCTGCCCTGCCCCTGGGCTGTGCCAAGGGCTCCTGCAGTTTGGTGTTATTCCCTGAAGAAACCAAGCAGTCATCTTGATCGCTACCATGTAGGTGTGAGAGATTGTGAGCATGTTGGGGTCAGGATCTGTGAGGTCCTCGTGCTGCCACAGCAGTTTTGAGCAGAAATCCAACCGAAATCTCATGCTGAAGAGAGTGAGCCATGCCTGGGCTGAGCGCAATGGGACGACTTACCCGCTGCGAGTGGTTGGAGGCTGTGCTGACCATGCTGTCACAGCTGTCTGAGTTGCAGGCAGCCATGCCCAGCCCCAGGTCCTTCCCAGGCATGTCACGGGCTGTGGTGCAGGCTGGGACAGCACGGCTGGAGCAGGAGAGAGGAGATGTGTTAGGCTGCAGGGCTGCTGCGTGCAAATGTGCGTGCTCTTAGGCTGCTCCTAGCAAGGAGAAGGCATTTTTGAAAGCACCTTTGGAAATGATTTATTTTTTTTCCAAATGTATTAGAAATGGAGTAAGACTCGGAGAACCTATCCCATAAGGAGGGTGATGATTTAATCACCCTGGAGATGTGGATCCTGAGCAAAGGAAGGAGCAGCAAGCCTGCAGCAAGCATGCACACTGAGCCATTGCAATTGAGGGCTGTTCCACCCCAAGCTGAGAGCCCTGCCCATGGCTGGTAGCACCCCCACACCCACCCAGTGCCCACTGAACAAGTAGCCCTTGGGGTTTCTACATGCAAGACCACTCTGGGGCAGGGTCCCCAAGATCCCACGCAGTTCAGTTACACTCACAGCATGCACAGCAAACAGAGCTTCATCCCCAGGGGAAAAGACCAAGCAGCCTACAGAAGCCATAATTACTTGTATCTATAAAGCATTAATCTTCCAAAAGGTACCGACACCACCAATTATATGCTTTCTTTGCTCGCACCACCCAATCTTTGGGAGATGAGAGCAGGGCTGCAGAGCACAGCAAACAAACGCCCTCCCCAACGCACACAGGCCCACGCAGGAGCAGTTGTTTGCGGGCAGACAGAGGAGCTCTTTGTGCTGCAACCTGGCCACAGGAGCACACTGCTGCTTTTCTTGGTAGAAGGATCAGGGAATTAGATCTGGTGATAAGCGAGCAGATCTGGCTGCTCGTTAAGACAGTCAGACCCTGAAAGAATTCTTTTGTAATTGGAATACGCCACAAAAATCAGATTTCACCGCCCACAACCTGGAAGAGCCAACGCTTCCACTCAGGAGGAACTTAATGCTTCAGGTTGGGTTTTGTAGTATTTACTGCCCAAATTACAGCTGAGGAAGCAATGTTTTTGGAGCAGAACTACCCCCAGTTCTTGAGTTTGGAGAAGCTTATAACCAGAGCTGTTAGCTCTCGGGAAGCACAGGCTGGGGCTGGGGATTTTCAGCCTTCCCAAGCTGCATAACTTTGCTGCACACACCATTTGCAATGTGAAATACAAATCTGCTTCCAGGCAGCAAGAGCCTATTTCCTGCTTGATGGGGACCACAGGATTACTGCAATGTTCTACACTGCTTCCTACCCACTGCACAAACCCGAGGGAGCAAAACAGGGAAGCAAAAGTCTTGCTTGAACTTGATCCTGGAGCGGCATCCTCTGCGCAATGGCACAGCTGCAAAGCAAGCAGACCCGAGCAGGGACGGCCACATGGGGGTCTCCGAGCTGTTTCCTGGTGGTCAGCACGTTGGGAGAAATGATCTGAGCAGCCCTCTCCTTTAAACAGTGTGAGCGGGAGGAGGCAAAGTTCAGCAGGAGCGTCAGGAGCTGCGCAGGAACAAGGGGCTCATTCTGCTGTGTGCTGTTCTCAGAGGAGATTATGGTTCTGGCACATTCATCCGATTCAGGAGAGGGAAAGAGGAAACCAGCCCTGAAAAATCTCAGGTTTTATGGTTCAGAAGGATTTTGCAGTTCGCTCCTTACAAAAAACAACAGGTTAGCCACAAACTAAACATTCGACCGAGTGTTTAAAGTAAATTAAAAGGATACTTGAAAAGCTGTTTCTCGATCATGTGTTCTCCCACTAAAAGGATTTTCCAAGAGGCCACTTTTTATTTGAAACACATAACTCGCTGGGGCAGCTTTTGCAACATCTGCTGTAACTGTCCTCTGCAAAGCTTGCTGAGCCCTCAGACATCAAAGAACTGCTGGGTAGCAATTAATGCTAATTGCTTTATTTGAAGAGGCTACTTTCTTCTAATCCCAGCGCGACTACCAGAGCTCTATCGCAGCTCTCCAGCAGCGTTCACCAATGTCAGTGCTTTTTGCAGCTGTGCTCTGATGCCCTACACCCACTCACAAAGGGCCCCATCCTAAACACAAAGAGCACGAGGAAGAAACAAAGCACAGGCAGCTCCTGGCCTCTCCGTGCAGTGGGACAGATCCCACCCCAGCGTGACCGAAGGCGATGGTGCACTTCTCCAGTTCCTCCTCTTTAAACAAATAGGGCGCACATTTCAGTTTCAAGAACTGAGTTTGCTGTCCCAAGATCGAGTTTTACCAATGTCCCACAGCTCTCCAGCACCACTTTCCAGCCTCCCCCCCCAATCCCCATCCTGGTGCCGCTTGGTGCGTCAGCTCTGCCACTCTTTTTCCTTCCAAAGCAAAGTCCCCAACATGAAGGCACCGCAGCCCCATACCCCGGGCAGAGGCACTCAGCTCTTCACCACAACCACATTCAGCAGGAAAAGCAGAGAGAGCAGAGAGCAGAGGAAAGAATAAAGATTTTTGCTCTTTTTTTTTACCAGGATGTCCGACGTCCCCCGGTGCCCAAATCCTCGTCCTGGCCACGTCTATCCCAGCACGTCTTTGCTTTTCTGTGCTAACCAAACACGGGTAGGTTACACATTAACTCCCAGCACTGATAAGGCTGCGCAGGGCACAGGCAGCAGCCCGCCCGTCACCTACAGCACAGCCAAGCCACGCTCATCCCAACCCAAGCACGGGGAGTTCCTTCCTGCAGCTGGGCTGGGGTCAGGGTGCAGCACAGCCCCTGCTCTGCCGGGTGTGCAGCTCTGCACAGGGTGCCTGGGGGGGCAGAGCCCAGCGAGCGGCTGCGGGCTCCCGGCACCACCCAGCACCCTCCCTTCCTGGCCTCGGCACGGGTTTCACTGGAGACTCCTTAATCCGACATCCTGTTCTGCAGCATAGTTGCTCGCTGACATCTGGAGGCCCTGACCAAAACGCCCTGTTGGCAGTGATTAAGCCCTTCGCCGGGTGTTGGTGCTGGGTGCTGCGTTGCTGCACAGCAGGTTTCTTCTCTTCCGTGGTTTGGGGCATTGGGTGCCTCAGCTTGGGGCAAGACCTGGTTCCTTCACAGCTCTGAGCACACAGATTGTTGCCGGAACAGAATGAGGCTCATATATCACCAAAGCTTTCCTAGAGACCGTGTTTTCCCACTGTACGCTTTACAGGGATTCTTTCATAGAAGGAAAGGGGAGAGTCCCAGGAAAACGGCACATATCTCAGCAGAAACCCTGCAGGGAGATTCCAGCCATCATTCAGGTTTTCATGCTTTAATGATTTTATTTTTTTTTTTAAATAATGTGTTGCAACATGTTCCCTGCTACACAGAACAGGGAAGTGGAAACATGGGTTATTTCAAGCTGCAGAAGGATGGAGGGAAAGAGGATGAGTGGGGAGCACAGAGCTTCCCAGCAGCACTGGCAAGCCACAGCTGTGCCCTGTTACAAAAGGGCCATGTGAGCTGAGGAGCAAATCACAGCAGATTGGGAAACTGGGAGTGTGGTGAACCTCATGCCAGTGCTGCCCTCCTGTACTCACACAGTAAAGGTAAGAGATGTGAACGTGGTGCTTTCAGTGGAGCTGTTGCATTGCTGGAGCAGTGCAGCAGCCTGGGATTGTAGAGCTTAGTGCTTCTGGAAGCACTCACTGGCACAGTGCTGGGTGGTGCAGTGGTTTGAGCAGCCTGGTTTGTGATGTTTTTGTCATTGCCTTTGGTTCTGTGTCTGCTTAGAACATGGAAGCATGGCAAAACCAGATGTGTTTTGTTACATACATGGAAACACAGAGAATTGAACAAGCACTCGTGATGGAGAGGCCATGTGCTGAGAGCACCATGCTGACAGCACTGGGACCTGAACCCAAGCATACAGTCTGTAGAGCTTGCTGCCTGAAAGGCTCTACGTAGATCAGAGAAAACATCCTATTCCATTAAGAGAAGTCTTGAGCTGCTGAGAGCTGACTTCTGTACAGCAGATGCCAGGAATGAACCTGTTCTTTTTCTACACTCTTCCTCTGACAAACAAAACCAGCTGCTACTCAAAATAAAGCGTGATTTCACGTACGTGGTATGAAGTCTATGCAAATAGTCAAGTGATGCAAAGAAAACTCTCCAGAATGCTGTGAAAGGACTTTGGCATGCTAACAGGCACCTCGTGCCTCACCCTCTGCACAAACAGCAGAGTGTGGGTGATTCAGGTCTGGCATGGAGGAACTGCATCCGCACAGATAAAGGCACCTGCTGACATAATGACCTGGGTTTGGCTGGAGGGCTGCTGGACCCTCCCCTCACACTGAGCTGTACGTATGGTGCCATGCATGCTGACAAACTAATTGTGGAAGAGATTGGGTAATCCGCTGGCTTAGAGAAATAAGGAGGTCTTAGTATGGCTGTGAACTAAGAAGGAACCCAATTTATTATCCCAATTTTAGAGAAAAGAGATAGAGATCTCCATGGCTTGCTTAGCATTAACCCCACATGAGAAACGAGGAGGCAGCTCTGGCTGCAGTGCTGTTCCCAGCACTTTCCCCAAGGCACTGATTAAAAATAATCCACAAGAGCACTGCAGTCCTGGCCAACCTGATTTTGCTAACCCTCCTATTGCATTGCTTTGTTACAAAAACCCATCTGCTGCTCACGCACAGAGGAGTGAAATCTTGATTTCAGCAAATTGAAAGGAACTTCATTGCGTTCCATCCGGCACAGAGTGAAACCTGATGGTGGTTGTAAGACTGAAGGTGCAGCTTCATTTACAACCCAGGCAGACATTTGATTTGTATGATGAAGAGTTGCAGTTCTTAAAGCAAGCTGAAAACGTGGTGTTCCTCTTATGGAAGAGTTTCCCTGCTGGGACAGGGCTGAGCTGAGCTGGGTGCAGGGCTGGCTGGCCCATGGGCACGTGGCATTGCATGCAGGGCAGTCAGCAGAGTTCTGCTGAGATCAGATGTTGCCCTCTTTGCTGCCTGTCCCCTCACTCCTGCTTCCTCTGTGACAGAGCAAACAATGCTGGGAGGTCAGACGTGGTCAGAACAACGATTGCTTTGCTGTTCCTTTGCTGTAAGTGCAGCTTCTTGAGGGCTCTGTTGGTTGTGTCTGAGCACAGCTGTTGCACTGTTGTGTATTTGAACAGGTTGTTGAAAAAGTGGGGTGGGAATAGGACATTCCTCTGCAGGTGCCACAGGGGAACAGGAGGTGCAGTGTGAGTTCTGACCCTGTACCACACAGGGAGGTGCTCCTTCTGTCATCTCCCCACTATTTCTTCTTGCATAGCCTTGTCCAGAACCAAGGAATCATGCACAAACTCATGCTCTATCAGCTCCAAGGAGAATTTTGCTCTACCCCTTTCTCTCAAAGTCATACGAGGAATTAAGCACTTATTAAAGGCATGGACAAGTAACTGCTTTGAGAACTGAAGTTGCCATGCCATTATCCCAGCAAGCCACAGCTATAGCTGGGGAAATAGAGGTCTGACTTCCTCCTAATACTGCCCATGTAGGCAATTGCTTCCATGAAACAGACAGGATGTGACTGAAACAGAGAACAGCTAAAGTCTTTTTAATGACTTGTACATCTAAATGCACAAACAATTCTAGAGGAGTATAAAACCCTTTGGTCACTCCTCTTGATGCCCGAGTACATCAGGGAGGCATTTTACTATTTTAAAAGCATAAAACTATATTGCTGAAAATACAACTTTATATTTTTTATATATTATGTTGCTGGAAAAGTTGAAAGTGAAGATTTATCTTAAAGGGCTGTGGGACTGAGCTCTTCTTGGTATGACCATCCCTTAGTACCAAAGGGAAAAGTGAATCAGGCAGAGAGGAAAGCGGATGTAAATTACTCAAAGACTGTGCTACAGATGTGAAGGCTGTAAAAAATACACCGGTGGAACAACAGTGAACAGAGCAAAAACCTGGCATTCGAGAGCTGAGGCAGAGACTACACTAAACAAGGGTGCATGCATCAGTCACGTTTATTGGTGCATCAACAATTTTTGCAGTTCAAGTTACGTGTTTAAGGAAATATATCATTCCAAATGGTCTGTACTGATGGTACATGAAGTGGAACGTTGTATTACAGTGGTAATTAAGACTTGAGAATCACTTGCTAACACCATTTGCTCTGCTGCAATGGGGACGCGCTGCTGACATAGCAAAGTCCTCGCTCGGTATCTGCTGAGCATGTAAACTCAGACCAACTTTTAAAGTGCTGTTAAATCCATGAGATGTGCATCTCGTCCTACAATACAGTGTTTGTAAAAGGCCACGTGATGCAGGTGTCAGGCTCTTCTTATTTAAGGAAGGATTTTAGTGCTGGTGAAGTGGCCAGGCAGACACTGGGAAACTGAAGTTCTTCACTTAATTAAGATCTAGTACAGGCAAGGAAGCCAACATGAACAATGCAGCTTCTACCAAGCCTGCCTCTGAAGTAAGAATTTCATTTTCCAGGGCCTGAGTAACTGCTGACCTCTGTGCTGAAGCGTTCAGTGAGGAAATTGGTGTTTAATTTCAATCTGTATGGGAATAAGTGGCACTGGTAAGGACACACACCCACAGCTTGCAGGCTTTGTGGATGGGTACAGGCTGCCTGCCACCACCTGAGCCCACAACACGTCAATTCTAAAATATCTGTAACTAATAACAGTTCAGTGCAAACGTATCAGTGACGCTCAGAAATTCACCCCACTGCTGCCAGGATCCCATTATTGTGGCACTTCCAAAGCTGTATCATTAAGGGCAGACAAACACTGCTAAAAAGATATTAAAAAACCCCTAATGTTCCATTCTTTTACAAGTACAACTCCCCATTTTAATGTAGTTCAGGAGCTCCTCCAGCTCTGTCCACATCCCCAGTTATTTGCTCTTTGAAACAATTTGTCAGCATGTAACAATATCAGCGTTTACAAACACAAATTACAGCTGTCCCGTTGATATTTTGTAAACCAAAGGGATTTTATTTTCTAGGCAACTAAATAAAACATCCAAGCGGTGACACTGAGGCATCTCCCTCACACGGAACTCCTGCCCTGTTAGTGGATTTGCTATGCAGACATGATAAAGCAAAGCTAAACACTCCAGATTCAATACACCTCATTTTAAATTTAAAAATACTGCAACTGAGAAATAATTCCCCAAAAGTATTTGGACGCGCTTTCAGAAATCCACCCAAGATACAAAGCTAAAAAATTGCTCCCAAAAGTTCCACGCCGTTGCAAACGTGGCAGACAATAAATACGTATCTTCCTCTTCTACAGCACTTTTGTTTCAAAGACACCCAAAGTACACCTCTCTGAGGTAGGTATTGTCCATGTAACAGATGGCAAATGGTGAGGAACAGCTCCTTGTCCCAGGCACCTCACCTCTTCAGTGTGAAAGCTGAGAACGTGATTTAGGGTCGACAGTCTCTTGGTCTCATTCCTAGACAGCATTTTGTCTCAAGTCGTTGTATCAGTGTAATCTTCAAGTTCCCTCTTTAGGTTCATAAGCGTCAGCTTCTCGAGGGCTGTTGGTAATGATTTGTTTTTTCTCATGATGGATGAAAAGCAAAGTGTGGTTTAACACTGGAAGCTAAGTGGTTTTCTATTGGAAACTCCCAACAGTGTGAACACGTATTTTAATACTGAGATAAAATGAAAACTGGTCCATAGTGCTTTTGGCAATTCTATTCTTTATCCTTAATTATTCTTGCCTCGATTTAGCAGAGCACTCGCACAATTTTGCTCTGTTTCCTGTGAGATCCCCTCAGTATTTCAAAGTCCAATTCAGCTGAGAACCTCAATGAAATTTGCTGCTTACAGAAAACAGGATTTTCTGCAGCAGGAGTTCAGCTACGTGCCTCACTGAACGGAGGCCTTTAAAACTAAGATTGATTCCATTTGGAAAGCGGGTTTGTTTCTGCCTCAAACTGAAGATGCACGTTCCTGCTCCCCGTTTGTAGAAGAGCAAGAGAGGTAACTTGAAACAGAGTGATAGAAGGCTAAGAACGTTGTAAAATTCCTTAAAACAAATGTATTACAGGCATTTCAAAGGAAAAAATAAATCCCCTTCAGTACTACGCACCTATACAGCACCTTTTAAAAGACCTCAAAGCACTTACTGTTAAGCTCACAACTTTGCTGTGAGTTAAGATTGATGAAATCAATTCCACCTTCCCTGATTCTGAGCAGTATGAGAAGTAGGGCGCTTCACCCAGCTTGTTTTGTTCTGACAGTTCAACTGCATCCTTCATTATCCGAATTAAAGTCTTGCTCCTCCACAGTCATCCGTGACAAATCAAACACGTTAAGGCAGAATGCAGATGAAGAGACCTCGAGCCTCCCTTCTGGATCACTACTCTGTCCTTCTGAAAAGGGTAAGACTTCTTACCAGCAAAAACAACTGAGAACTATACCTTAAAGTGCTAATTTACAGTATTTGGAATCTGCTACAGCTTAGTAACACTGTGGCCGTGAGATCAGCTACAGCCAAATAAAGACCATTCCAATGTATTAAACAGATGCAAATTAAGATACTTCCCTAATTACTGTATTTCCCTCCTGCCAGACTTCGAGATATTGTTAAGAACCCAAGTATTCCCAGTAACATGCCTATGTTCCGATGCAGTGTAAACACCAAGGGGCTGATAGTTATTTTCCAAGCAACTAAAAACTACCTATGGAGGATTAATAAGTTTATTCAACACTTAACCACCTACTCGTTAATTTTAAGAAGGCTATCTTAAAGCTTAAAGGCCACTTCTTTCTCTAAAGCCGTGACTTCACACAAACAATACATTCTACTTCTGATAGTAACATAGTGTAGGGCAGCTTTAGGGATGCTCTTTCCACTAAAAACCGTGCACCCTGTGAGCAGCAGAAGGGCTGCTTCTATGCGCAGAGTCTATTTTTTTAGTATAAATAGTGCTGATACACACATTTCCTAAACCCTTAATTTAATTACCCTGAAAACATAATACTAATAGATTAATTCAGTAATTTAGAGGCTCGCTTTTTACACTAGTATTGAACGAGCCTGGTTCTGTATGGCCACTCAGAGCACACATACACACAAAGAGAAGATTATTTCAGACATCAGGTTTTAGCTGCCAGTGTATTTCACCTGCCAAATGACTCTAAATTAGCATGCGAGAAGACAACCTATTTCAAATCAGTTGGAAAAGTCACTAACCCCACAAACCTGTGCGTCTTGGCCATCGTTAATACGCTTTTCAAGCTCTGTGAACGGAATTTTGTGATTACATACAGCTTATCTGGAAATCCAGAATTTGATTCCGGATGAGTGAGGTAGTAGATGTAACCATCCTCATGCAGGTTGTCACACCTCCCCAAAGTTGGTGTGTCCCGTCTCCTTGGCGTGTTCTCTGGCTTCCACTTGTCCCGTCAGTCCCTTCTGGCACACCATGCACCTCAGCGTGAAGCGATTCACATCAGTGAACTGCCTCTTCCGTCTGGCTTCGTCTGCTAGCTCCAAGGCTTGTGCGAGAACAACATCATCAGTGGTAGAGAAAATGGTCTGGGGAGGAACGTCCGAGTCGGGGATTTTACGCTCGAGGGGATCATAATGAATCCCATCGTAGATCAACAGGACCCGCTTGGTGTACCCGGCATCCTCCCCGAAACGATCGATTCTGACCGTCTGCGTGTCCACCACACAGATTTCACACTGATAAAACTTCGATAAAATGGAAACCTCGATGGCTCCCCCCCAGGTTTCCTCTCTCCGGATCCAGTCGCAGTATTCCCTGTTGGTTTTCCCCAGCACTGCCTCACAATACGCCTCGGGGTCGCTGGCTACGATCTGTGCAATGAGGCTGCGCATCTCCGGGGCACAACCGGGGTCGTACACACCTCCCTCCACCACGTAGTACACGCTGGTGAACAGACACGAGTTGTCAGCTGGTACCACCCTCCTGGCCAGCACGGGAACCGCTTCCCTCACCGCCATCATCCTCTTGGCCACGACTGGAGAGCCGGCGCTGGGCTTGGACGTGTCCTCCTCCACGATGAGCGTGTCTCCTGTCAGACAGAGGGGACAGCTGAGAGCGCGGATCGGCACAGAACGGAGTCGTTAAGGTCGGAAAGGAACTGACAGCTCACAGCCAACCACCCACCCATCCCCACCGGACCCACGAGTGCCGCATCTCTGCGGTTCTCGACCACCTCCAGGGCGGTGACCCCACAGCCTCACCCGGCCCGGCGCGTTGGGTCACAGCCTCGCTTAATTAAGCTAATTGCAGCCCGCGGGGCAGCGGAGATCGTAAAGCGCAGGCGCTGCCGCCCAGCAGGCCTCACCCGAGTGGATGCCCAGCTCGCCCAGCCGCCGCTCGCCGTCGCTGAGGTCGAGGCTCCGCGGAGGGAAGCCGAGCAGCAGCCGCTGGGCCGGGGCGGGGACGCCGGTGAGGGCGGCCAGGGCGGCCTGCATGTCGCGGAGACGGGAGTGTGCCGTGAGGCCGGGCAGCGGCTGGGTGCCGCTCCGGGCCTTGCAGCGCAGCCGCAGCATCCTTGGCGCGGCCGCCGCCCCCCTCCTCCTCTTCCTCCCCGCCCGGCCGTCTCCGCTTCCGCCCCGGCCCAGCGCCCGCTCGTTCTCGCGAGATCTTTTTCCGCGCTGTTTCATTGGGCGCTGGGCCGCGGCCAATCGCGGTGTTACCAAAGCGGGCGGCGCGCGCCGCGGCCGGTGTCGATCTCATTTGCATGCAGGGCGCGCCTGGAGTTGTGGCGTAGCGCCGTTCTTCCGCCCGCTTGCCGGGGAGCGATTTACATCTCATTTGCATGCAGCGCGGCGGCGCGGAGCCATGGCGGCGGTGTACCGGCACGGCGGCAGCGCGCCGCGGGGCAGAACCGGGGCCCAGCGCGGCGGAGAGAAGAAGTGCTGTGAGTACCGGGGCGGAACCGCGCACGGAGCGCTTTTCGCGGAGGGAAGGAAAAAAAAAAACAAAAAAAGCGGTTGTCGGCTTCGCTTAACAAAACGCGCGGTTCCCACGGCACGCGTGGATTTGACTGCGCGCGGTGAAGCCCCGCTATCTCGGTGCCCTTCGTGCTGCTGCCAGCCTCGCTGCAGCCCTGCTGCCTCCACACCTCCTGTTTTCCGTCTGCTTAAACCCGTGTTTTCTTCCATCCTCAAGCCATTTTTCTTCTGCCCTTGGCAGCCCGCGTCTCCTGGGTAAATATTTGTCCCGCCGAGAACCGCATTAGCCCCATTAGCTGCAGCAGGTGCACCGCTGCTAATCACTTTCATTAGCTAACACCGCTTGCAGCACTCATTAGGGGCCAGCAGCCAGCTGCAGGACGGCCAGTCTGTCTGTCTGTCTGTCCACTGCGCTCCACGCTAACGTTTTCCTGCAGCGTGGGCATCCTACATGACCAACTCGCCCACCCTCATCGTGATGATCGGGCTGCCCGCCCGCGGCAAGACCTACGTCTCCAAGAAGCTGACACGTTACCTCAACTGGATTGGGGTGCCTACCCGAGGTGTGTGTGCCCCCACAGCCCCTGCGCACGGGTGGCAGGGTGTCGGTGGGCACCCACCTCAGCACTGCGTTATTTTGTGTCCCAAGTGTTCAATTTAGGGGTGTATCGCCGGGAAGCTGTCAAGTCCTACAAATCCTATGACTTCTTCAGGCACGATAACAAAGAAGCGATGGAGATCCGCAAGTGAGTTGGCGTCACAGGGCTGTGCAGATGGCCCGCGGTCTGCTTAGGCTTGGGGTTGGCAGCCCGTGTGTTTCTGTAGCACAAAATAACATTGAATGCCATGGAAGGAGGTAGTGCAGTGCACAGATCCCTTGGCAGGATCGCTGGATGCGTGGGAATGTTGTTGGCATCAGGAGAAGTAGATGGAAAGGAGGGGCTTGGAGCACCCAGAGGAGCAGGAAATGTAGGGGGTACCTTAGGTGCTGTTCCCGTGGGATTTCCCAGGTGTGGATTTTTGCCCTCAGAGATGTCTTTTTTGAGGGCAGTGGGGTTGGGGGATTTGCATGGAGCCTCAACTGGTAGAGGCAGCAACTGGGGCATCCCTAGGACAGGGATGGGAGCATGGGGAAAAGGGGGATTTAAACAGAGTTCAGCTCTGTAGAGCCCCCGGGAGTTGGCAAGAAGCGAGGCTGGGTGCGCCATCTGTGGGGAGAACAGAGAGCTGAATTCTTCCCAATCTCAGATTCAGAGGACCTCCAGTCTGAACGCCTTGCACCTGCTCTGACCCTGCATTTCTCTCCTGCAGACGGTGTGCCTTGGTGGCCCTACAGGACGTGAAGGCGTACCTCCTGGAGGAGTGTGGGCAGATAGCTGTAAGGCTCTTCCTGGCCAAACACACCATGGGGGCTTCATATCTGGGTTGTTCAAAGCTGCCCAGAGCATTCGGGAACCCAAATGTAATCCCTAATCATTTGGGGCTGCTTTAGAAGCTGCAGATAACCTTTCTCATTGCCACTTATTTTCTGGTAGGTGTTCGATGCAACCAACACAACTCGAGAAAGACGGGACCTGATCTTAAATTTTGCTAAGGAAAATGCTTTCAAGGTAGTGCTGCTGTGTTTAATTTGTGATGGGGATCACAGTGCTGGAGCTGTTTTTGACTTCTGATTTTAAACCAGAGCTCTTGGTCCTCTAAAACATGTTTCTCTGCCTCCTTCACAGGTGTTCTTTGTGGAATCCGTGTGCGACGATCCGGAGGTCATTGCTGCCAACATCCTGGTAGGTTGCCAAGCTCTGTGCCATGGAGCTGCGTGCTGTGCAAGGTCACCAGCTCTGCTCACAGCACTGCTGCTGGAATATTGGCATTAGGGATGATGTGCACAGTGTGGGGTGGTCGGGATCCCTCTCAGACTGCTGCTGATGGTTGCAGGCATAACCTCTGCTGCAGGTGTCAGTTGGGGGCTGAAGCTGTGTGTGTCACCTTGCTGCTCCTGCAAGGAGGGCTGGGGGCTAAATGAGGCTTCCCCGTAGTGCTCTTATACCTCAGCTTGTAAATACTATTGAAAGTTCATGGGTTGTAAAAGCTGAAGGTGCAGTTGTTGAAGTTGGATGTGAGCTGAAGCCGAGCAGTGTTTGACCTTGAACATGGGATGACAGGCAGCTGTGTCTGCACTGGGGCCGAGCACTGCAGTGTGCCTCCCCATTGCCTTTTGTTGCGTTGCCAGGAGCAGGTTTTTCCACCGGGCAGCACTAAACAATGCTGACTTGTTTCAGAAGGGAAGGATGATGATGTTCAGTGCTGCTTTTGCTCAGCTTTCCCCACGTGTCTCTTTCTGCTCGACAGGAGGTGAAAGTCTCCAGCCCCGATTACCCTGAAAGAAACAGGGAGAATGTGATGGATGATTTCCTGAAGAGGATCGAGTGCTACAAGGTCACGTACCAACCCCTCGATCCTGATGAGTATGACAAGTAAGCAGCGAGCCCAGGCTGTGCTCCATCCCTGAGCTGCTTTGCTTTGCTGCTTTGTGTTCTGTGCCCGAAGACTTGCAATGCTTGTGCTGAAGCACTCCCAAAGCTGAGATTTGCTCGTGCGAAGGCAATGCCCTCGGGTTGCAGTGGATTTGAGTGTGATGCTCCCTGTGCAAGCACGGTGTGTCCTGTGTCCCCGCAGTGGTGCTGATGCCTTTTAACTCAGGGCAGAGAGCTGGGGGACGCCTGCACGTGTGTCAGTTGTCAAACCCGGCGTGTGGGTGTTCTTATTTTATGTTGACTCCAGAGATCTTTCCTTCATTAAAGTGATCAATGTGGGACAGCGGTTCCTAGTGAACAGAGTCCAAGATTACATCCAGAGCAAAATCGTCTATTACCTAATGAACATCCACGTGCAGCCACGCACCATCTACCTCTGCCGGCACGGCGAGAGCGAGTACAACCTCCTTGGCAAGATTGGAGGGGACTCTGGGCTGTCACCACGTGGCAAGCAGGTGTGGGTCTGCAACACCCAGATAGCTGCACTGCAAAGTGTCACAGCCCACATTGCACCCATGGCGAGGACGTAGGGGTGGGGGGCAGCTGCCCTGTGCAGCTCCTGAGCTCCTCTGCCCTCTCTCAGTTTGCACAGGCGCTGAAGAAGTTCATTGAGGAGCAGGAGATCGTGGAGCTGAAGGTGTGGACCAGCCAGCTGAAGCGCACCATCCAGACAGCTGAGTCACTGGGGGTCACCTACGAGCAGTGGAAGATCCTCAATGAGATTGATGCTGTGAGTGGGGCACGGTGCAGCCTTCTGCTTTTCTAGGTGGAAAATAATTGAATTGGGTATAAAAGTGTTTCCTGACCATCACTTGAGTTTTCCATCCGTGGCTGTGCATAACGCCCTCCACTCCTGTCGGGAGGTTTGGGGTCACTCACTAGGGCTGAAAGCACCTGGAACTGTTAGAGCTTTGCACAGCAGCAGACCTTCCCTTCCAGCTGTGTTGGGAGAATGACACTGAGCATCCCACACACTCGTGGGGTGTATGCAGTGCCTTGCTGCTGGGCAAAGGTTGGCACTCTCACTCTGGTTTTGGTTTTTTTTTTTGGGCAAAAGAAATGCTGGTGCTGTGTTCATATCTATGTACTGAATTGCTGTACATCTGAAGTGATGCTGCATGGAGTTGTGCTTCCTGCAGGGGGTGTGCGAAGAGATGACGTATGCAGAGATCGAAGCCAAATACCCTGATGAGTTTGCCTTGAGGGATCAGGAGAAATACCTCTATCGCTATCCTGGAGGAGAGGTGAGAGCACTTAAAAAAAAGCAGAATGCTGCTGTGTGCATTGGGCAGTGTGTGATGAATAGAGTGGAGGGGCTTTGCTTGGTTTCAGCTCTCTGTCCCCAGTATTCCATGAGAAATCGAAAGCCTTAGGAAACCCAGCTCTCTCTTAGAGGAAAGGAATGCTGCTCACTGTTCCAGCAGTGTGTGAAGCAGGTTCATTGTGCTGCTCTCAGTTGGCTGAAGCTGAGTTGTCCCTATGGAAAATCACCCTGGGAGAGAAATGGCTGTGGGTGGGGATGGAGTCACTTCTGGTTTTACTTCACAGCCATATTTAAATGTGTAATTTAGTGGTTTGTTTTCTTTTCAAATTGCACTTGCTAAGAGTTATCACTAATCTGAACTTCCTGTAATCTGAGGGTTGCTGCCATCCAATTTCACCCAGAGCTGTTTCCTTATTTTCCCCTCTATTTACTCCATCACTTCTGCAGTTTGATGCTTTAACCGATACTTTCCTGAAGGTGAAACTGTGTTAATTGCTACTTCTGCTCCAAGTCTGTTTATAAAACCCCTTGCAAAATTCCTGTTTTGTTTTGCAGTCCTA